GCGGAGAGATCTGTACTGAGAGGCCAGACTAAGAGCGTCCTTATTCACTCTCGGAGGGGCGTCTTCCAGGGTGTCCAGACTCCCGCTATTTAGCGGGTGACGGAAGTGGCATTAGTTTACTCCGGACTTGGGGTACACAGGCCGAGGGCAGTGCGATCGCTCCACACATATATCGCTCGCCATATTGACATACACGTACACACATGTACATGTACATATACGTACACACATGTATACAAGAGATCTCTTGAGACTTGTGCTGACTTCTGCAAAGAAAGAGAAGATACTTTTATTTTATATTATTAAATATTTAAAAATACATATATATATATTATTATTAAGTTTTTTTATTAACAATAATTTAATAACATTAGTAATAAGTTTAGATTTTTAAGATAGTAATAAGATAACCTAGATTTTTAAGATAGTAATATTTCTTTTATTATTAAATAATTTATTACAAGGTAAGTGCTTAAATTATAATAAAGCTTTGAAGTTTTAGGAACATCAAGATGGTTTGGAAGTGTTGTGTGCCACAGTGCACATCTAAGACAGCAATACCAGTCCATCGATTCCCCATGGATCGCTGCAGAGCTGAACACTGGTTAACAATCATTGGCAAAACCGAATTGATCGGTGAGTAAATGAACAGAAATAGATAAAATAGTATAATCATAATAATATTGTCAGAAAATATAGTCATAATATGATTAACATGTAGCATTATTTACATTAAGCAAAAAAAGCAATTTATTTTGTGTTTTACTTACTTTGTGTTTTACTTACTTTGTGTGCTACGGTCATTATCTTACTTCTTGATTACTATTTATTATCATGCAATGATATAACAGTACGCAATATTAATTATTATTAATATTACAGGTGCGCCAAAAGAAGTGCTGGCAAAGTTGAGAATTTGTACGGAACATTTCTCTGAAGAGATGGTATTGCCTTATGGTCCAATACGACGTTTGTTGAACGATAACGCAGTACCATCATTAAAATTAAATTCTTGTTATGTAGAACAGAATGTTCCTGTTATTAATAATTTAGAAGATCATGTTCACTTAATAGAAAATGTTCTGAACATCTCTAACTTTGTGCCAGTGCCCATGAACATGGGCGAAGATGTAGATATATCAAGAAATACCAATAATGAAGGACTGAAAAGAAAATTAAGGATCCAAGGAAGATGCTGCATAAGAAGAAAAACATAATTAGAAGACAACGTCAAGAAATCCACAGGATCCGTCGAAGGAATAAGTGGGAAGACGTAATGGAGGACATGACAACAACGCAGAAATTATTCTTCGAATGCTGATGATAAACGCCAAACATGCACCACAGGTATGTTTTGTATGTTAATTTGTATACAATTATGAATGTATATGTACACTTAGTTTTTCTTTGTGTTGATGTTATTAAGTATATGAATTTACAGAAAATGTGATAATTTAACTACTTTTTCTATTTATTTATATATTTATAGACATTAAATCAAAGAAACAATACACATAAAGCATATATATGAATTACAATATTAATGCATTTTTTACTGTATAAAAATATCAGTAGCAAAATGCATCTAAATCAGTACATTTTATTAATTTCTTAAAATACAAATTTTGAAACTTTTAGTTATAAATATATGTGCATGCAACACATAAGTATATATCTTGCTTAAAAGTGTAATTATTGCTATTCAAGGATAAAAGTAATGAGAATGTACAAATTTAATACATGTGTTGCTACTTGGCATTTTTTCCTTTTATGTACAAATATATTTTTATTTGCTTAATTAATTTAATATGTAGTATTAATTGTATTATGCTAAAAGGGACTTCGAATTATTAGCAATTGCAATATATACACATATATATAAGATATTAATTATAAATATATGTTTTTACATAAACAAAATAACATTTAAAGTAAATAAGACTTAAAGTATATGTGTATATATATATGTATACATATTTTATTCTTTTTATTCTCTAATCTTATTTGCTTTAAATGTTATTTTGTTTATGTAAAACATATATTTATAATTAATATCTTGATTTTAAAATTATGCAGTTTTGCGAATATATATATATATATATATATATATAAATTGATATTAAATTGATGGTTTTTTATGTAATTGTATATGAATCCATACGTGACCGCTGAAATTGTCTTTCATGTAATATTTTTGAGAAAAATAGAGTACAATAGTTAAAAAATATGATTTTAACAATTTTTATAAATGAATTTTTTTTTATTTTTTATAAATGAATCAGAGAAAGCAAATTTTTTCCTTACATTGAAACAAACGACTTCTTATAGTACTATTGTTCCTCATTAAAATTAATTTTTATTTGTCAACGTGTTATTTCTTTTGTCTATAGTGAGAAGTTACGCATATTTTATATAGCATAGGAATAGATATTTGGTCTGTTCTTTGTAGCTGCACTGTTGAACTGGCGCAATGAGTTAAAGTGAGACAAATATAAGTTTTCTCACTCTAGCTTGTTGCACTAGTTCAGCAGTGCAGCTACAAAGAACAGACCAATTAATTTTTTTACTTTATGCAACTAAATTTAACAATTATCTTTTACTAATAATTTTTGCTGCGAATTTTAGTCTTTTTATACATGAATGTTGTTGACAGTGGTAATTGCAATAACACGCGTTTACATTTAAATTGACCATTAGATGTTTGCAAGTATCGATTCTACTACTTTTTTCTTTTGTGATTAATCGCTTTCTCTTGTGTAAATGCTGCCATAATGCAGTATGATAAGGCACAGTTGAATTTTGCTAATAAATAAATATATATATATTCTGTGAGCATAAAAAGGTATGAGTACTTTGACAATTCCTCATGCACAACATATTTTTCCACATTTGTTTATACTTCTTTTCCTTCTTTATTTTTAATACATTACTTACTATTCCACAACATACAAATATTGTTACCATGTATTTCTTCATTTGTACATCATTATATTAACATTAGTGCGAGTGGATTTGTGTGCATGTAAATACCACGTGATACTTTGAAGAAAATTATTTTTCAAAAGGGCTTACTGAGCAATGAGCTGAAGAAAATATATGTGAAGTATATTTTTCTTATTGTTTTATTATTATGACGTGAAATAATCATGAAAGAAAAGTTTAACATATCTGAAATATTGATAACATTTCTACTGTTTTAGGAGCATATGTTGCATACTGCAGAAACCAGTAATATAGTTTCAAAAAAAGAACAAGCAACCCATGTGATATGTAATATTGATAAAGACGAAACTGTACAATATGTAAGTATTACCATAATTTTGCATGGTGTGAATTTTGTTCGTGATTTTTGCATTCAATTTTTTAATCTTTAAGCATTACTTTATGCTACCTCTTAATTTTAAAATGGCATTAACATAATTATTTATATTTCAATTCTTAACAGAGTAATCCTTTTCCTTCTATAATCATGTACATAATATGGACAGACTATCAAAAAACTATATTTGTAAAAAATGAAAAAAATCGTATTTCTCTCCTCTGTGTGTGTGTGTGTGTATGTGTGTGTGTATGTGTGTGTGTGTGTGTGTCATTTGCTTATTGCAAAAAACCTGCAGTTATTGCTCTTTGGCTAATCTGAGCAGATTATGTATATATATGTAATTTTGTTTATGAAAATTATAAAAAAGGATTACATGTGCATGTGTTCAGATTTGATATTACAATTGTCTTTATAAAAATTTTGCGATACAGAGTAAATATTATATTACAAATTGATTTTTGCATTATATTAAATAAATAATGAATGCTTGGGCAACTACTTGGGTGAGGAAGACCTTGCACTTTTTTAAGCAAGAAAATAAAATGCATGTTAAGTGAAGGTTAGCACTTGCTGTTTTCATGAAAATATACATAAATAAATCTAACATTGCATATAAAAATGGTGTGTGTTTCTGATACATAATTTTAAAACTATCATATTTCTCCTTACAATAAAAAATAACGCGGCATAATTCTTCTCTGAAAATTAAAGCGGACACAATTCTTCTCAATGGCGCTTCTATTTATTATCAATATCTTGCTTGTGCTAAATAAAACAGAGTATGCTTAGAAATTGTGTTTATGTAATATGTGCGTACAAGTTATGCATGATATTATCACTATGTAGCAAAATAATATCATGCACAACATTATGTAAAACATAACAATGTTATTGTAATTTTTATGTAGGGTCATCGCTATGGCAGCCAACAGAAGGCCCTGATGTTGACGCTGTATAAAACGATGGGAAAGCGCGCGTATTCTTATTTACGTCAAATTTTTTCACATATGCCATCTATTCAAACGTTGCATTTAGCGCTTCAGAAAATACCAGTCTCCGCAGGTTTGAACACTTTTATTTTGAGACACTTGGAATCTATAGCTCCAAAGATGTCAGTGAAAAATAAAGTGTGCATTCTTATGTGGGACGAGGTATCTATTCAACTCAAGATCACATATGATAACCGTAAGGATATCATATGTGGACTTGAGGATTGGGGCAATAATCGCACCGGAAAGATGGCTGATCACGTTTTGGTATTTATGCTTCACGGATTATACACGGGCTGGAAGATGCCCATTTCTTATAATTTTTGTTGCAAACAAACAAATACAGCGCAATTAGTACGTTGTATTAAAGAACATGTTTCCAAAATTAACGATCTAGGCTTTCACATCGTTGCAACAGTTTGTGACCAGGGATCTTCGAACATGGCTGCAATAAAGGAACTGCTACTGCGTACGGACATGAAACGCAAGTCTTCTGAAAGAACTCAGAGTAAGCAATAACAATAAGTATGGTATTTTTATAACAGTGTATGTAAATAATTAATTTATATTCATTTCTTTTGTAAAAGGTCAAACGTTTGAAGTGGGGCAATATGTAATTGTTCCCTTATATGACGGACCACATCTCATCAAAGGCGTGAGGAATAACTTATTAACAAAGGACTTAGCGATGAGCTGCGAGAATGGCGTATCAGCGAAAATTGCATCGTGGGACATAATTAAGACTGCGTGGATTATGGACAGAGAAACACACAAAATTCGACCGCAATTAAAAAAAATTAAATGTGAGCACATTATGGAGGATAAAATTAAGAAAATGCGTGTGAAATATGCCGTTCAAGTGTTAAGTGGTACAATGGCAAGCTGCATTGAAACATTGGCCACATCAAATTGTAAGTATTATTATGTTAGAAAATACAGATAAATAAGAAGTTTAAGGGCAATTTTCATAATCTCCGGTTAACTATAATTACCGGTTATTCTAATGAATTGACCAATCGTATTTATTGTTGACCATTACTTACTAATCACGGTTGATCGACGATCACGATTGATTTTCCGATAAATTATCGATAAGACTACCCGGAGATTGCAAAAATTGGCCCTAAAACTTATATTATCAATCTTTTTTTAACATTGAAATATATATGTCTTTTATTTATGTAAAATATAATCCATTTTATAGTAAAATAAGTTACATATGGCGTTAAAAAATTACTTAGAGAAAATTGTTGATCTTTGCAACAGATGACACAATTATTTATGTAACATAAAAATGTATGTTACAGGTGTTGTTCGCCACGAAGACAAGGACTTAAAAATAGAGGAAAACGAAGGACTTGCCACCGCGGAAAGTGTTAACTTTTTCAACGATTTATTTGACAGTGTGAATGGAAGTGATAAAGAGTGTGTTGAAGACAATGACCTGCGACAAGCGGTGAGTGAAACAAGTGTTCATCATGTTTTCTGGGTAAGTGCAAAACGTATATTACGCGAAATGAAATATGTTGATAAGATTTCACGTGAAATTATTAAGAATGTGCCAACTGTTACAAACTGGAAATTCACTATAGACGGGTTTCAAAAATTATGAGATATTTTACATTCACAATTTGGTTTTCATAAATTAAATGCTCGATATTGTAATCAAGATCCGCTAGAAAATTTTTTTGGTCAAATTAGAAGTCACGCGGTTCGTCATATTAACCCCACTCCTTCACAGTTTGAAGAGTCGTACATCACTCTATTACTAAGCAACATGAAGTCAGTATCTATAGTTGGCGGTAATTGCGAGGCCGTTGATGATAACTCTATGTTGTTATCATTAGAAGAGTGTTTAAAAGGTGACTTTTCAGACGTGGAAGTGCATGATGTCGCTCGCAATGACAATGGCGATGATGAAGTGCATGATTTTATATCGAATAATACAGTAGATAATAGTATTTCCGCGTCATTTTCAGCTTATTCTCGCGTAATGATAATTTCAATTCTAAAAAAAGTTAACAATTGCTCGGAATGCGAATCATGTTTCAAAAATAGTGAATTTTTTGTTTGCGCGAAACAAATAGTCAATCGAGTTTTTAAATTGTTAAAAACGAGAAGTAATAGGCGAAACATTGCGAAAGATTTTATACAACATTTTAAAGAATGGAATAGGAATATGAGTTGGCATGAGTGTATTGAGCATAGTGATAAAATATTTGATATTATGATTCACGTAATTATTGTTCAATGTATTATTTGGTGGTGTAGAGACAAAAATTTTATGTTAAAAAACTCTAATATTAATTCCTTAATGCGCGATGTAAAAATTAGTATAAAACAAAATAAACGAATGCGTGCGTTATTTAAAGAAAATAAATTGAAAAGAAAAGAGATGTTACAAGCGTATAAAGAGTCCATTCAAAATAGAAATAGATATTAATATTTATTATTTTGTAATTAATATTTTTCAATTCATTTTATTATCAAATTATTTTCAATATATAATGTAATATAATATTTTTTGTATTATATGTATGTTAGGGTATGAGTGCTTAGTTTAGCGAATGGGGCAGGTAGGATTCTTCTACTCTGGCTCATCTGTCTGAAGCAGTCATATTTTCCCTTTCTCTGACAGATCGGGAAGGCATGCCTTCAGGTCGGAGGAGGAGGGGATGAGACTGGAGGAAAGATGTGACGTCCTTAGCCTAGCGCCGGACAGGTAGCATCTGAGAAGAATATTTAGGAGAATGAATGATGGACACTACTCCAACCTCCAACTCAGGAAGCCATGCTTTTTATACGGAAGGCATGCCCTGAGGACGAGAGGCGAAGTATTGCTCTTCGGCGGAGAGAGTTGTCCTTGAATGGATTGTATGATTTTATGTATGTATAGATGTATTGTTTAACTCTGACACATCTTCATTTGTTATGTTATAGCGTATCATTATATTACACGTAAAATTATTATCACATTTATATATTGTTTGTATATTTTTGTAGTGTGGATGGATATTTATTGATGCTGGTGGTTTTAGGCTGCGTTCAGGAAGACTATTAGAACTATCAGCATCATTCTATCCTTGTACATCTAATGAACAATAAAGATAGAATGACGCTAAGAGCGCTATTGCGTCTCCCCGATCGTATCTTTAGCATCAAAATTTTTTAACCTGTGACGTGGCAGCCGGAAAGGCGCCCGTCCCAGAGCGAACCTTCGGCCCGTATGCGAGGGTGCGGGGGGGGGCGGACAGTACATCGCACGAGAATTACGGGGGGGGAGCGCCACCTTGCACTCCCCCGCATTAATTAGTGTTAGCGATAGGAGCGTGCTGGTGGAACGGTCCCGCGTCCCCGAGCTCTGTGCCCCTGGACCTCCTGCGCCGCCCATCAGGACCGGAGGGATCCGTGGAAGAAAGAAGAGGACGACGCCCCCCCGCGGCCAGACCGCCACCCCAGGTGAATGCACTTCGTTACGAATGTTATTATCGATTCCGTATCGTAGTGAAAGATTCTCGCTGCCGATTTCGTTGTCCACAGGCCTGCAGGGAGATAGCACCAAACGGTCGGCGTTCTCGTGCTCGAAACGTGAACGCCGGCTAGGCAAAGCCGGCCTGGGCGACACGACAGCGGGAGTGCGAGCGAGAGAGAACGCGCGAGAGTGAGACCGAGACCCGTTCCGCGGATCAACAACAAAGATCCGCGGAAGGATTCCCGTATTGGGAGATGAAACGAGGAACGGGGAGAGAAACGTAGCGAGACATAACAATGAAGAAAGGAGCGACACTGTTTTTGGGGAGAATAAAAGAGCGAGCTCCCGTCTTCGCTCTCTCTTCTCTCCTATCTCGAGTCTCGGGGATCGTGAGTCGGCTATCGGCTAATACGAAAAGTATCGCTTAGAGTATCGCCTGGATCGCTACGGAAGAGTGTCGTGCCGATAACGAACCCAAAAAGGATACCGTTTACCGGGAGTGAGAGGAGAAGGCTTGGTGGAGTTCCACGCGCCCAGGGGGTTGCCGTTGGTGACGGAGTTGCGGAGGAGCGAACCGAGGAACAAGGGAGCGAAGGACCACGCCGCCGGGAGGTTCCCGACTCTGTAAGACCGTCCACCTGCTTCACTATTTCGATATCTCGGGCGTACCGTGTCTCGTAGTAATTAGCGGCGTATAGCAAATTTCGAATCCGCGAGAGCGTCTCGCGGAGTGTACCGTTTCGAGGGGGTCGGATCGTGCCGATTCCCGGAATAATAAAGACTGAGATAATCGAAACGCGTCTCGATTCTTGGATTTTCGCGGTCACTCCCGACTTCCGACGAACCCTTCCCGTCTACCGACTTAAATATCGAAGAGCTACCGGTCCCGTCGACTTCGCGTGTCTCGGCCCTTTGGTGAGGTGTCGCGTAGCGTTGGTGAACGGTGCAGCCCGTTGCACCTGGCGCCCAACTTATTTCGTGAGAGCTAGGTTGGCCGAGACGCGCGGATCGACGGCAGTTTGCCGACGGCGAGCGAAAATCGCGTCGCAAGTGTTATCTTTAAAATGCTACTTCACCGAGCTCGATGTGGTCATTTTTCACTGAGTTGTTCCAAATTTTGCTTAAAAAATGCGGTTTTCTTGTTAAATTTGCATAATTCAGTGAATAAGTATCGCATCAAGCTCTATAACGAAGTATTTTAAAGAAAACATTCTATACTTTTAGGTACTTTTCGTCCCATTGAGCTGCGACACTTACTTTGCTCCATGCGCCGTCGCACGCTCGAACCTTTTTTTAGCAACTTTTCATGTTCTCCTTTTTATCACCCGCCATTTTGAAAAAATATCGTTACGCACAATTTCGATAGATCTTTCGAAAAGTACGGTTTCAAAGCTTTCAAACCGTTTTTGAAATTTGCTGCTAGGATATTTAGGTGTCGAGATATTCAATTTCGAATTTGCAACAAATGTCGATTCAGCGAGGCTTAAGGGGCTAAGAGGCTCTGCGGTTCGTTTGGCTCTTTCATAATTTCAATAGCTGTGTTCATGTTTCTCTATATAATAATTTACATAACCTGCACAATATATTCAATGATTTGCATATATAATAATTTACATAACCTGCACAATATATTCAATGATTTGCATTTTATTTTGAAAGCCAGGGAAATGAAAGTAAAATTCAATTTAGGTTCTTCATTTTGCGTAATCGATATTACGTAATAAAGATGAATTGCGTTTTAAGATACCGCTATCATTAGCTCAAATTATGGTTGTAAGTCTTCCCAATATAAACCGCATGGAGTTTTACTGGTAGGAAAAGTCCCATTGTATGTAGTGTGTGTGTGTGTGTGTGTGTTTGTATACCACAAGGATAAGGACCCCGTGGTTCGTCAGCTCCACAGTATTTCAAGATTTCACACCCTCCTTGTGGTGCGTGTGTATGTGTGTGTGTGGTGTTACAGCAGAGATAAGGACCCCGCAGTTCGTCACTCCTGCAGTAATTAATGACTCCAAACCCTCTCTGCTGTGTGTGTGGTGTGTGTGTACTAATAGTGGGTATGACTGCCTCGTGCGCGTATTACCTCATTCATACGATCAGGCATACTCCTTATTAGTCTTTTAATTTCATCCTGCGTAATTGTATTCCATTCGTTTTCGAGAATTATTCGCAGTTCTCGCAGTGACTGAGGAGCAGGTACGTGATTTCGTACTTTCCTGCCGAGGTTGTCCCATAAGTGTTCGATTGGATTTAAATCTGGACTATTTGCTGGCCAATCGTGTCGATTTATGCCAATCTCATCGAAGAAATCAAGCACTCTTCTCGCAGTGTGTGGTCGAGCATTGTCTTGCATAAACAAGAAGTTCTCTCCGATGAAGGGTGCGTACGGAACAACATACGGAATGAGTATGTCTTCCACGTATACATCTGCGTTCATATTCTTGTCAAAAAAGTGCAGATTTGTATGAACATTAGCTGAAATTGCTGCCCAAATCATTACAGAGCCTCCATTGTAGCTATGCCTCTCACTTACCGTACAGTCTGCAAATCGTTCTCCACCGCGACGATAAACTCGTTCTCGTCCATCTGGAGAATAGACACAAAAACGAGATTCATCGCTAAAGAGTACTTTGCTCCAGTTTGCGTAAGTCCAGTCTCTATGCTCAACTGCAAAATTGAGTCGAGCTACGCGATGGTGACATTTAAGCAAAGGTACAGCTGCTGGCCTGCGCGAAAGCAGATTTTGTTTCTTTAATTTTCTCCGAACGGTGTTAACGGATACATTAATGTTGCGGACATCCCTTAAATTGTTTCTAATTTGAACAGATGTTCGATGTCTGTCTTTTAACGAATTTGAAACAATAAATCGGTCATCATTGTGATTGGTACATCGAGGACGTCCCGAACCAGGCCTTCTATGGAAAGAATTGGTTTGTAAGTACCTGGCATAAGCACGTTGCACAGTTGACACTGACAAATCAAGTGCCTGAGCGACGTACCTTCGACTTCTGCCATCTTCAATTAAAGCAATAACTTGAGCAGCCTTTTCAGGATTTATCGTCGCCATAATCGACGCAATAATTTCGATGCGAAACAATCAATTACGGTTTAAATTGATGAAGTTGCACGAAGCAACGCGCCTCGAAAGGAAAAGATCACGGAAAAAGAAAAGTCGCAAAGAGGCAGCGCTTATCGGAGTGAACACGTTCGGAAAAGGAAAATTGTTTGTCTTTGTTTATTGTCTTGGCACATACATTTAAGAAAAATCCAGTCAAGCCAGGCGTTAAAGCCCGGCGCACCGACAGAATCTCAGCCAAGCCAGAACGTAAGCCCGGCGTACTGACAAACTCGCGAAGTCCAGCGTACAAGAGATAGTGCCACTATCGGCGGTGGACCGTACGAAGGCCAAAAGCTGTACGAAGGCAATCTCTGATCGTCTCCGCGGGCACTCTTATATGCCCTAGGCAGCTCGAACTCGCGTGCGAGCCGAGGGGCTCGCGCGCGCGACAACTCAGATCGCCGCGTCGCGGCGGCTCCGTGGACTAGGAGCGCCAGGGAATTTCGACGTTCAGGTGGGCGTCCAGCGACTCGGCATCCCGCGCGCCGGGTCACCGCGAACTCAGGCGCGATCCTGAACAGCATATTCAAGCTGTGTACCATAATAGCCAATCGTACGGAGAAGGTAGAGAGCTAGGGACAGCTTCGCGAACTAAAGTGTATATCACAGTGATCATGCGTAACTGAAGGGTAAAGAATGATAACTTTTGATAAAAATTAAATTTCCAATTCGCAAAATTGTGTAAATTATTGTATAGAGAATAATGAACGCGGCTATTGAAATTATGAAAAAGCCAAACGAACCGCAGAACTTCTTAGCCCCTTAAGCCTCGCTGAATCGACATTTGTTACAAATTCGAAATTGAATATCTCGACACCTAAATATCCTAGCAGCAAATTTCAAAAACGGTTTGAAAGCTTTGAAACCGTACTTTTCGAAAGATCTATCGAAATTGTGCGCAACGATATTTTTTCAAAATGGCGGGTGATAAAAAGGAGAACATGAAAAGTTGCTAAAAAAAGGTTCGAGCGTGCGACGGCGCATGGAGCAAAGTAAGTGTCGCAGCTCAATGGGACGAAAAGTACCTAAAAGTATAGAATGTTTTCTTTAAAATACTTCGTTATAGAGCTTGATGCGATACTTATTCACTGAATTATGCAAATTTAACAAGAAAACCGCATTTTTAGCAAAATTTGGAACAACTCAGTGAAAAATGATCACATCGAGCTCGGTAAAGTAGCATTTTAAAGATAACACTCTATACTTTCATCTGCATTTGGTCCCATTACGCTGCGATACCTGATGCACACCATGCACCATCGCAAACACGGACCTTTGATTATCAATTTTGCATTCTCTCACTTTATCATCCGCCATTTTGAAAAAAATGATCGAGCATAATTGCCATTCAGATATTCTTAAAGAGGACGTTTCAAGCTTCATTTTGCATTTCTGCGCATATTTATATCTTCATTATTTACCAAGTTATGATCATTTGAAATTTTGTAATTCTTTCCCAAATTTTTAATGTACCGGGTTTTTTGCGTTGAGTGTATATCGTATTATAATCGATACATATTGAATATCGATTTTAGTTCAGATGAATGCAGCATAGCCCAGATGGCAATATAAACGGTCCACGTTAAATATATGGGAGTGCCATCCCCTGGTCTCAACCTAGCAGGGTGTATCAGTGCCGCTTTCAACTCGCAGAGTTTATATAGAGCGGTGGTTCGAATTCAAACTACAAGAGAAGTAAACGTCAGAAGAGCGCAACAAAAAAAAGTTGCAATAAAGCAGATGCAAGAAGTTGCCACAATCGGCGTTGGGCCATGCGAAGGCGCGCGAGCTACTTTCGTGCCCGGTTATATCCCCGGGCGGTCGAATCTTAGCTGCGAACAGCAGAATCGCGGAGCGCGCTGCATAGCGGCCGCAGTCGGCACTAATAGTTACGCGCGGAGCGCCGGCAAGTGTATCGCGTTTTCGTATGTGAGAAACTGGCGTCTGGAAGTTAGGCTGTCTGCCACACAGCATGTGCGGAACAGCTAATATAATCTTATATTTTTCTTTGTCTATTTTATTTTTATAGCTTTCTTCCTCTAATTCCCGAACTAAAAATTTCATCCTTTTCAAATATTTTTACCATATCGTAATCCCATTCGTTTATCTGTTACTTTTCTTAATCTATTCTAGCTTATTAAACTTAATTGTAATTATTATTGGGTAATGGTTGCTTCCCTATATACATCTTTTTCTTTTTTTTTTTACTTAATTCCATCAAGTATTTTCTCACTAGCGAATATCAAATATAAATTGCTTGCTTTTCTACAAACATCATCCATTCACGTTTCCGTATTGTCATTTATAATGTAAGAATCTCTTTCTTCCATACTTTTTCATTAGGATATTTTCTGTTCTTATCAATTCTGTAGCATCATATTCCGTACACGGTTATGTGTGTTAAAATCACCCAGAATAATCTAATTCTGTCTTCTGTTTATCTCTTCATATGGACATTTGGGAGTTATACTATAGAGATTATATATGTATAGGCTTTTTAATTCAATATTCTAAGGCCCAGTTCCACAACTTGCTTTAAACTCCGTTTAAAGCAAGTTATGGAACTGGGCCTAAGAGTTATTTATAGGTACTATCATTGAAAAGAAAAGTGTACAAACCAGAGGTTACGTTTGGTATGTATTTGGAAAAGATTATTGTAGAAGATGTAAGAAGAAGAGAGAAATGTATAAATTGTAAATCGCATCAATCGCTTATATCGCTTATTGCTTAGCGGTACACGTCTGCACACTTTCCTGTCATAGACGAAATATTTGGTCTATTCTTTGTAGCTGCACTGCTGAACTGGTGCAATAAGCTAGAGTGAGAAAACCTATATTTATCTCACTTTAACTTATTGCACCAGTTCAACAATGCAGCTATAAAGAACAGACCATCTGTCATTTGTTTTGAGGTTAAATGATATTGCTGTTTTTATTTACGTACGCTGCCATATTGAGCTGCACCGCAAGCAGTGCAGTGAACTGTTGTATTAGGCCTGTTCGTTTTGTCTGCACTGCTGAACTGGTGCAACAAGTTGAAGTGAGAAAACCTACGTTTGTCTCACTTTAACTTAATGCATCAGTTCAGCAGCGCAGGCAAAACGAACAGGCCTATTGAGTATCGATGTATTGCTAAAAAAAACAATATTTGACATCACTTTTTCTTTTTTAAAAAGAACAGTGTATTTGACATCATTTTTGCTAAAAAGAGCGCTTCAGTTAAGTGTATATCATATATGAACTAGTGCAGTCAGTTCAGCTAAAAAAAAATTTAAGAACGACAGTTTATATTTTTCTATCTGTTTTAAGGTTATATCAATGTTAGTACCAAATAGACAAGAAACTTGTAAGATATAAAGGAACAAACTGTTAGTTTTATCATAATTGATAACATCATGGGACAAAAGCAAGAGGCCGCAGAATATCACATGTTTCCGAATATCGCGAGATGGCTGTTTTTAATATTCGGTTTCCCGATCGTGTTAACTTGGTCAGCATATAGTTTACTGGATATTATGTGGCTTAGACAAAAAAGGAAAAGTCTCAAAAACAAGGTGATGTTCATATTTCATTTGTTTTTTACTTATATATTTGTTTACTTATAATTATATTTTACTTATAATTATATTTACTTAAATTATTTGTTTGTATTCATATTATACTTGGGTATTTTTGTTATTCTACCAAATTAAGGTGGTGATGATAACTGGTGCTAGTTCCGGATTAGGAGAGGCTTTGGCTCATGTGTTTTATAAGTGTGGATGTAAACTTATCCTAGTTTCCCGTAGAGAAGAGGAATTAAAAAGAGTCAGAAATGATCTAACAAATACTTATCAAGTATGTTCTACTTGATACTTATTTTCAATATTTTCTTTACTTATATTATTTGTTTGTATTCATATGTTTACTTGGATAACTTTATGCTGATATAAGTACACTGATATTATGCTTTTCTTTAGATAGTTCCAACTCATCTACCTGTTATTTTACCACTTGATCTAGCTAAAATTGATGATATGAAAAGTAAAGTTTTAAAAGTTCTGTTGGTACATGATGGTATTGATATTCTTATAAATAATGCTGGTGTTTCATACAGAGGTGAAGTTATCAGTACAGATATTGATGTAGATATGAAGGTTATGATGTCAAATTATTTCTCTCAAGTCTGCTTAACTAAAAGTAAGTTTATATTGATTAAAAAAATTTCACGCTATAAAAGTTGCTGCAACACTATTTATTCATGATTAATTTGTAGTTATCCTGCCGTTTATGATAAAACAAAATTCTGGCCACATAGTTGGTATAAGCAGCGTGCAAGGAAGAATTGCTATTCCTTATAGGTATTTGATTATAAATTTTATATTTCTTTAAATTTATCTTTTTGTTAATTATGATAATGATTTTCAGGTCTGCATATGCTGCATCCAAATATTCAGTACAAGCTTGGTATGACAGTGCAAGAGCTGAAATTTTTAATAAAAATATTAAATTTACAATTGTCAATCCAGGATACATCAAGACGAGTCTTTCTATGAATGCTCTAACAGGAAGTGGACAAGTTTATGGAAGTCAGTAATTAAAATATTTTTATTACACACAAGGAAGCTAAATAAACTAATATTATTTGAATTGTATATGGAATTATATGTAGCATCATGTTTTGTTACAGTAATGGATGAAACGACTGTGAATGGTTATGAACCAGATTATGTAGCTGAGCGCATCTTAGAAGCTGTATTGAAGCAGAAGAAGGAAGTTACAATAGCACCATTTTTAGTAAAGTGTGCTATAATAATTAGAACTTTGTTTCCTTCGCTCTTCTTTTGGCTCATGCAAAAACGTGCAAAAAAATTAGCAAACAATCGATGATTTTATTTATTCAAGAATTACTATTTGTAGAAATATTTCTAAATATAATGGTTAATAGTACAGGATGTTTCAGTAGTACAGGATCACCTGTTTACCCATTTTATTTTGAAAAAGAATGGTGCTAGGAAGTTCGGAAATCAAATTTACTATAAAAGCCTATCTAAAATTCTTGGTGTTACTTTTATTTTTCAGAAATCCCAGACCACTTTTAGAAAATACCAGAAACTGAAAGCGACTTAAAAAATTTTAAATAGCGACATGGACAATGTGGAACAATATATCGTTGGATAGACTTTAAAAAGAGAGAACTTTCGCTCAAAAAAAATTTATTATCACGTGAAAATGAAAAGTTGCAGATGTTTAAAGTGTCTGTCACCTTGAAGAAGACATCTTTTCATCCCTTGTCTCATGCTATCAGCGACTCTCAGGACTTCTGCAGAATTTGGAGAATATCAAGCTTCTTGAATCGATAGTTTCCTGAGAGCTGTAGACAGAGTGATAAAGGATAGAGATGTTTTCGTTAAAGTGGCAGAAACTTTGAACATCTGTAACTATCTTTTCATTTCCGAGTGATATTAAATTTTTTTTCAAGCAAAAGTTGTTTCTTTTTAAAAGTTCTACCCAACAATACTCATATTGTCCTATGTTACTATTTAAAATTTTTAAGTTGCTTTCAGTTTTCGATATTTTCGAAAACAGAATTTTCGAAAACGGTTTTCTAAAAGCGAAAGTACCACCATCAGTAACTTCAAATGAGCTTTTGTGGTAAACGTTCTAGCTTCTTTTTTAAAATAAAAGGAATAGACAGGTAGTCTGAAATATCTTGTACGACGAAATATAACTCTTTAATATAATGATAAACTTGAAAAACATGTAAATAGCGACAGGTGGTTGGTAGATGGTGTTGGTAGTTGATAGATGGTGAGAATAAAGAATTTATGTAAATACAATTAGAACAAGTTGGACCTTTACAGATTTACGTTTTAACATGTAATTTTTACATCAGATAAATGAAACAGTTACACTATTCAAAAGTATATTTTATTTTTGTTGTAGTCACTCTCTGACTAGTGAAATATCTTTACATTATGTACACATTATTATGAAACCATAATTGGTACTGACACTGAAATGTTCATGTAACAAGCGTGCTATCCATCTCTTAATGTAAAATTTACGGGAATGCTGTTATTTCATACTTCGATAACATCTCAATTATATGTACAGTAATTTAATAACTCTCGCTATAACATGGTTCTTGTAATATTAAATCACTAAACTGCATAATCTATTAAAATATAGAGATATATCAAATATATGATGGTTGAATAAAAACTTGTAATTTTTTCAAATAATGGATGGCACATCGAATTACAGTTCACTGTATCGTTAGATTGTTTCCTTCTGTTTACTTAAATGGTACGCGAACTTACCTAAAATGTAACGATTTTAAAGCAATACTTAAAAAAAACATCTAATATAATAATAAAATCTGACATCTATTGTCATGAGAGATCTATAATTATATTTTGCCCTAGTATAATTTGCATGTTCAACTTTTATCGATGATCTTAATTATTATTAAGAGATTTGCAAGATTCTGATGACATTGATTATATTCATATGACTTGTGTAAGTTGTTTTTATTCCTTACTGAAAGAAAATATTAATGAAATTACGTATGGCCTTGAACTCATACAGATAATTACATGCTTTCAGAAGTCATTGCATATTTGGTATAATTTGTTCCGGTATATCGTTCGATGCATGTTACATATGAAGATCTCGAACATATATGTTAATTTTAATGTGATATAATAAAAAGATTGAAATTAAATGCATATCGTTCTCCGTTCTAACGACAAGAGTAACTGTGTTCTTGTGCAGCAGACTCTTCTAACATAGTAACCTGTTAATTTAATTTCTGAAAAAAGAAACGAAGTCTCTAACACATGCAGAAATGTATTCGCGTTTCGTATATAAAATAGCACTCTTCAATGCATTAAACGGAATCCAAAATGGATTAATCTTACAGCTTAATTTCTCAACCTGTTTGTGCTATGCTCAATATATATTTGGCGTCACGACACACGTACAGTGTCATTTGATGACGATGTAACGACAATACATTGAAATAATCATCGTTCATCAGTCTAAATTTAATGTCATTCCTAGAGCAATGTTCAGGACTATTTACATTTTTCATTGTTTGAGTTCTTTCGTCAATAGCGTAAACAAGAATTCATTAATATGTAATTTTGTACACGTGAATGTTTACACGCGCTCGCACGCAACAATGAGATTTTACGCCGCGTAAAAAGAGTTCTCACGTACTGAAAGATGTACGAGATTGCATTTTTTTTATTATTATTAAACAATTACAGGAATGTTTGCGACAATAATTTCCACTTTACAATGCTAATGCAGTCGATAAAAAATCTCGTGTACGTTGTAATGGACAAGAACAAATGTCTTATTCTATGCTCATCATTGATAAAATCAATCAAAATCTAATAAAAGTCACATTTGTGTTACTATACTTAATACATCCTAGATGTCGTTTTATATATTTTTAATGTAGATTGTTCCATTGGGTGAGAAAATCTAGGCGATATACTCCTCAATATGCTGTATGTACTGTGTACATTTCTACCTATTTTTCTTTATTTACAATCTAAAAATACATAACGCTAATCCATCCTTTCGGCTGTACCATCGCAAAAATTCCGCAGCTCTAAGAACACTTATATCGATATTTCTATTCTCCTCCATTGTAGCCAGATTGTGTGTGTGTACGGTCTTTGCAACTTTGTAATATGATTATAACTTTGACAATTTTACTGAGACAGAGATCAAATGTAAAGTTTTAGGGAAATGGTGTACCAAATATAAAAAACTCTGGTCAAATCTGTTTTTTACTTGCATTTATGAAATCACATAATCTCAGCATTCACCTGTGAGGTAGCATCAGAAAGTAATATAAATTAATCGTCAAGATATGTGGGAATTATGTCATAATTACATGACGCAATATTGGAAACAAGCCTGCATTCTTTTTCAATCAAAAATTTTTATAGGCCTACTATATTATGAAACAACTTGACATATTATGTGGCCTACCTCACTGCTTCTCTCTGGCATAAGTCAAAGCCAGCCATCGGTGATAATTCTTTCACTTAAATGCCTGATAAAATCTCCAGGCAGTAATGCCAAATGCTGCCAGTGTAATAGTTGTATGAAGGATTCGTCTCCTCGTATCATCTTTCCTTACAAGAAACGTTGGTGATGATGGACCTAAAACAGCTAATAGCTCTACATGTGGTAGTTTGCTGGTGTCAGTCTCTACTTGATATTGGCAACAAGGATCAAATTGCCATGAGACTGTATATAAACCGCAGGTTATAATTGAGGTGAAACCTAATGGACCACAAATGTATGGTCGATCGCCCCAGATTAAACCTGAAAAAGAAGCATTGTAAGATATCATCAATTAACGGATATATTTTAAGCAGTGATGCTTAGTTCTGTTGGTGACTTGGTCTGAATATAAATTTTATTAACAATTGCATGTATGATTGTGTTTAGTATGGTATTTGGTATTTATTATACATATGCAGCTAACCTGTGACAATCGCAGCTAGACCTGATAAAGCAGCAGTCTTATGAAGACAATTGCCTACTGCTATCCATCTAGAGGTTTCGTCACCTAATTTCGATGGCTCGATAACAATTAAACTGCATTCTGATTCTAGAGCCCTCTCTAACTCATACTCGAATGTCTCATGAGCATTCTCACTGTCATATACCTCCCGAATAATGGCAACATTAGAAGACTCATCTCTGGGAAAAGAAAGAAATACACAGGCTATTTATTTCATATATAAATGTAATATCTTTTTGTTTTCCTAAGGGTATTAAAATTTGATTGTGTACTTTCAAACATGTAAACGTTTATATAATTCATATCAATATACCAAAGGTTATTATCTATAGTTGCAAAATTTCTTGAATGAGGAAGAATTTTGAACTGAATCTGAAGTGAACTGAAAAAAGAACTGAATCTGTCTTACGTGCGATAAGGTTAGCTTTATTCCCGATTGTCATCCGAAAAGTTTACAATTAAAGAATCATTATGCACATACGTTGAGAATTTTACAGTAAACAATAGCAGAAATCGGGATTCCTTCCGAGGGAGATTTCTTATTCTTTTGTGTGTTATGTAAGACATTGATTACAAAGAGCTGATCAATGTAAGCTTTATTTTGAACGTATACGTACGTTTCGCGCAAAACCGGCGAAATTACAGACGAGGTAGCGTTCTTTCTCAACGACATGACCAAATAAATATCACAACAATGCGAAGGGAAAGAGAAAGAGGGAGAAAGACAGAGGCATGTGTTAACGGTTGTGAAAGAACGACGGTGAAAGTAACAGTAACCAATCGAGCCACCAGGAAGCTTCTTAACAAGCCGCAAACTATCCTGAGAACACCGTATTCCCAGAGACTATGAGATCATCTTATGAGCGTTGCCTTGAAACGCAAACATTTATTGCTCGCTGAAATTATTCATGGTCGGACGAGCGCGACGGCGATTGTCGCGCGAGATTAACCCGCCGTACGCAGCGCGTTGAGGTTGAGGTTAATTCTGTTCCGGCGACGACGGAAACTGCGAAGCGGCGACGCGTCCCGGCGATATTGCTGTCGCCGAGAAACGTCGGATCTCACGCACAAAGTAGAAGATAATTCGACCTACGAACCTGTCACCAGCTTCATCTACCATCTTCACTGTCGGTCCCGCAGATACTGAAACGACGGTCTGAACGGACCGGAAGAAAAAGCATGACTCGTCGAACCGGACATAAAAATCAGCTGATATATACACACGAGCTCGGCGGCGCTGCTCGCATGACTCGCGTAGTGAATTATTTAGCGCATCTCGAAGGTGGCTCGAAGTTCGAATCTCTGCCGAATATATGCTCTTGATTTACCACAATTGAGCTTTGCGATCACGAATTTATGTTGAGAATGCCAAGAACGAGTACCGCGCTTTCCCATTACGATGAAACGCCACACTGACTGGCTGCCGAAAAGCGAATTTGCCGCGGAATAGGCTGTCGGGAATGTTGCGCGTCCGTCGATTATGCAGCAGTTCGAAGTTCAGGTCGACTTCCTTTCGACGTGAATCGAGTATAAATCTTCGTCAGGAATGTGAGAGCGTCAAACTTGAAATCACTGTGTCCTATTCCCCACTTGTCCGAAGGTAATTGGGTAAGCTAATAGAGTGGAGTGTACGTATACAGGTGAGGAAAAAGTATGGAAATCCTTAAAAATCTCGAAAGATATAAGTTTTACAGAAAAGTATTTCAGACAAAAGTTATAAGACTCAAAATGATATATTTACTGATCTTATCAGTTTGACCTTGAGTGGTGTTGCCAAGGCCAGGTCAAGGTCAACTTATTTTTTTTTAACAGAAATCTCCATTTTTTATTATTTCATCTTCTCTACCAATTAATTCGAACAACTTTCGTCTGAAACATTTTTTTATTTACCTAACATCTTTTGAGATATTTAAGGAAAACTTGATGACTTTTTCAATACTTAACTTACGATATCTCGCTAACTATTTGTCGGAAGAAAAAATGGTACTAGACTTTTTTACTCTATTTGGTCTCAAGAACATATTGTTACAATAGTTCCCTAACTTTTGTTAACTTATTGACTTTTGGAAATTTCAAAATCATCAAATTAACAAAAGTCAGGGTGCTATTGTAACAATATATTCTTGAAACCAAATAGAGTAGAAAAGTCTAATACCATTTTTTCTTCCGATAAATAGTTGGCGAGATATCGTAAGTTAAATATTGAAAAAGTTTCCGAGTTTTCCTTAAATATATAAAAAAATATTAGGCAAATGAAAAAATGTTTCAGATGAAAGTTATTAAAATTAATTTGTAGACAAAGATGATATAATAAAAAATTGGCGTTTCTGTTTAAAAAAAATAAGTTGACTTTAATCTGACCTTGGCAATGCCACTTAAGGTCAAACTGATAAGATCAGTAAATACATTGTTTTGAGCCTTATAACTTTTGTCTGAAATATTTTTCTGTAAAACTTATACCTTTCGAGATTTTTAGGGGTTTCCATACTTTTCCTCACCCCGTACGTATGTGTGTGTGTGTGTGTGTGTAGCGTGTGATGACAGACAATACTTTTGTGATTCTTGCATTGTCAGTTGAATTTCTCAAGTTTCTACGAAATATAAAGAGCGATCGATTTATTTAGACAATCAATCGATTTATTTATACAAATACAGAATAATGAATACATCAGGATTACGGTAAGGCAAAATTCGTCTGTAAAATGTGTGCAAGGATATGTATATGGTTAGAGGTTGCTGAAATGTCCGTTGGATGGCAGCACAGTGTTGGCGAAACGACCCGCAGCACCGACGAATCACCAGAGATATCGCCAGAGATATATGCGGATTTTCGTCATATCTCTGCATTTATGAGTGCATAATGAGCACCTTTTCTTTTAGTATCGACGAGATGTTATTAACATTTGGATAATGGTAGACCGTAAAATTAATATCGCATTTTACGTCGTCTAATCGTTTAGACATTCACACCGGATGGTAGAAATCAGTCAGTAATGTCAGTGTTTATAGAGTAAAAGGAGTGAATTACGACACAGAGAATTACAGAGAAGTTGAAGAAATAAGATTATTACGATTTATCAGTTTTGTGTTTTATCGTTATGTATATGGTGGATTAACCAACAACTGTAATTACGTACATAGCGCGACTTTTAACAACTAAATGGATCCCAAATGGAACATAAAATTATGATAACAAGAAAATGACCGAATCATGATGAAGAGATATGTTTCCCTCATCATTTTGACGTCATTTTGACGTAATTATGATTTCCTGTTCTGCCTGGGTTGTTGCGCTTCGACAACTCGCTGCTTCGAAACTCCCAGTTATTACAGCGTTTAATCAGTTGCAAAGTAAAGCGACATAACCGGTGCGAGGTCAAACTTCTGCATATTTCGCGATTATTATTTGCTAAAGATGAATCTCGCGCGCGGATTGTCGCTGGAAGTTGCTGTAAGTACCATTAAGGTCACAACGAGTGATCACAATGAGATCGCACTGAAGTCACAATGATTTGCGAATGTCCGTTTTGTCACAAGTATGATGTCATCGAGACATCACCGAAGTTATAGTGATGTTTGAATGCCGCTTTATCTATGACATCATACTCGTGACCAAGCGGACTCTCGCACTATGGTTTTGATGTGATTTCATTGTGACTACATTGTGACTGTGTGTAATTTCTTTCAAATCTGAGTAATAAATCTCCACGAAATTTTGATGCTCGCATACAAATCTACAAGACTTTGTTTCTTCATATTTTTGCAGTCGCGCGATGTTAAAATTTCTCAAATAACTTAGATATTCCAACACATAAGCCGCATAACATTCTATCGAAAACACATCGCGATCGCTCAAATATCAGGGGTGAAATATTAAAATCACAAGAGAAAATGAACACGTAGGCTTGCTCATTTCAAATGCATTTCTCCTGCACTTTCAGACAGACAGACAGCACACGGATGTCCATTGGACGTCCATTATATGTCCATTTTTTTTACAAAAGACGTCCATAGGACGTACGTTTGTCACAACTTCGGACATTAGACATCCAATGGACGTACATCGGACCTACAGGTCCTACAGGTCCGATTCCAATAAGGACATCCTTGTTACGTCCAATTTATTTATGTCCACGGACGTAAATCGGACATACGGACATAAATTGAATGTGAAACGTACATCCATTGGATGTCCGGTGCTGTCTGGGTTCTACCTTTCTGCTAAAATATCATAGTAATCGAAGGATATAGATATCCAGCTCTCATAGAAGGAAAAAGGACACGAACATAGCGCATAGAGGCGCAATTGAGAATAGCAGCTTCCACTTAACTCCCGACATAACCAATAAATACGGTGTTCATTGATTGGTATCCTGTTCCGAAATCCTGTTTCAGAAACTTTGCTTTTAGTTATAAGGTTGGTAGGATTAAAATTAACTTGGGTATGTTCCGTAATTAATCAGCTGATCACGCTTGGACATTTACAACCACTAATTCTGTTTACAAACTTGGTTTTAGCTATTAATTTTGTAATATTAGAGAAGTGAATAGACTTTTATTACTTATTAACTTGATAATTGAGCTTGATCAATTGCGGAACGTATCTAAGTTAGTTCAAGGCTTACCAACCTTAGAACCAAACCTAAAACCAAAGTTTCCGAAATCGATTTCGGAACAGGCTGGTATAGGAATAACAGCAGTTAGCGATTTCTTGCATCCGATTGGTATATTCTTTTGTATATTTTTATATCTAAAGATATATTCCAATTAAATACAAAAGCTCACAAACTAAGGTCGTTGCAAGATTAGCGGATTAACATTGTCCTGTAAACGCAGTGATTTCTCAATTTCAGGGATCGCCCTCGGAAATTCCGGCGAGAGAAATAGGCGCGCATAGCTTCGCGTGCGCTCGGGGAGGCTCGGGCGGCTCCGCGCGCCTCCGCGCGCCGCACTACTTGGCCTGCGCGGAGGAGCGCGCTGCGTGCGTGGCGCGGTCGCGGCCGGGCGAGAGCGGCGCTGGCGCTGGCCGGCGGCGCGTAGATAGAGTCAAACGAGGCCAGATCGCAGATGGACGTCCGCGCGAGAGTATCGTCGTGGGCAGCGCGACGCGCCGTGCCGTCGTAAGTGCGCCCATCGATTGCGTGTCGTCGGTGTCGTGTCGTCCTGCGTGTGTCATCACGCGCGTCTTGTCCCGATTTTCAGAAGCGCGTGTTCGCCGCAGTGATATTCAGAGTGAACGAAACGAACGAACGAACGAATGAATAAACGGACGCACACGAACGATACATCGTGTTTCGAATCGCGGCTTTTTGCGCGCGTCTTCCTCAGCAGTGACAGTCGTGTTTGACAGTAATGACAGCTCGACATTGTGACAGCCGCGCGCAGTGACAGTTGAGCGACGTTGAGCCCCGCCCGCGAATGCCGGCGGCGTTCAAAAGTGAGATTCCGAGCGGCCCGTTTCTCACCGGGACACCGCGATCGGTCGCGCACGCAGGTGCATGCGTGTGCGCGAGTTGTCCGCGAGTTGCATTTGCGCGAAAAGTGTGCGCGAGATCGGTGACATGTCACTGAGTCTTCAGCGGGGACGGTCGACTTTCGTGTGACATTCGACGCCGGTTTCAACGAGAGCAAGAGAGAGAGAGAGAGAGAGAGAGAGAGAGAGAGAGAGAGAGAGAGAGAGAGAGAGAGAGAGAGAGAGAGAGAGAGAGAGAGAGCAGAAGCTCAAGCCGATCCGGCCGAGTGACGGCGTAAATCCACGTGCTCCACCTGGTCAGTGTCGGCAGCGCAGCCGAGAGACGAGACGAGACGAGGCGAGGCGAGGCGAGGTCGCGGCCGCGCCGAGTCGATCGAAGGGAGATACACATACGTAGGTACACACACATACACGAAAAGTACGCGCGCCAGTGTACTCTTGTATGTGCATACAAACGCGTCGCGTCGCGTTGACGCGCGCGTCGAGTGGGGCGAAGAAGCAGCGGGTGTTTCGGCCGGTTCGCACTGACAGTCGACGAGGAGGAGGTGTGTACGCGCCACGCCACGCACGGTTATGTATACTTGTCGCGCCGCGCTGCGCTTCCTTCGCTTGTGAATCGCGCGCTTGCGTGCGCCGAAATTCCGCACGAAGGGAGAGCGCGAGCGAGCGAGTCGAGACGAGAGGTGCTTCGAAGGTGAAGGACGGTAAACACACGAGCGTGTTCGGCCGAGGAAGTGAAGGGCGTCGGTCCCGTCGCGCGGCGTGACTTTCAGGATCGCGCTCGGTGAAAATTCAGAGCGTGGAATTCGGTGTGTCGTGCGCTGACGTTTCCGGCAAGGACGAGAGCAGCGCAGAGCGGGCCGGATTAAGTCGGAGTCGGTTCGCGGAAGCGGAGAGCTCTCGGAGAGCCGAGACCGATCGCAAGCGGGGAGGGTGAGAGACAGAGAACAGCTGGCGGCGAATTTGCCGGAAGATTAGCGGCGCGCGATCGACGTCAACGACCGGTACCCGCGGAAGGTCCCGTAAGGAAGCCGCTACCGCGGCGTCGCGCGCGCGCGCGCGCGCTATCGGCTCTCCGAGATTGCTTTCGTCTCTCGCGAGATCGCGAGATTTCCGACAGACCTCGCGGCCCGGAGCGGAGCGAGGCGAGGTGAATCCGAGCTGGCTGAATCTGTCTCGGGAAAAGCACGCTCAACGACCGGTTCTCGCGATCCTGCGACGAGACTTCCATCCGTCGTTCTCGTTCTAACGCGATCATCCGCGAGAGTGCGACGAGTTCGCGCGCTGAATCGCGCCGGGCGGCCGCGCGGGCGCTAATCGACGTAGGTGGACGATTCTGCCGCGACGACGGGATCGTTGGGCGTCGTCGTCGCTCGAGTGAGTGAGTGAGTGAGTGAGTGAGAAAGAGACGGGACGAGGAAGAAAGGAAGGAAGGAAGGAAGGAAGGAAGGAAGGAAGGAAGGAAGGAAAGAAGGAAAGAAGGAAGGAAGGAAGGAAAAAAAGAAAGAAAGAAAGAAAGAAAGAAAGAAAGAAAGAAGGAAGGAAGGAAGGAAGGGAGGAAGGAAGGAAGGAAGGAAGGAAGGAAGGAAGGAAGGAAGGAAGGAAGGAAGGAAGGAAGGAAGGAAGGAAGGAAGGAAGGAAGGAAGGAAGGAAGGAAGAAAGGAAGGGAGGAAGAGAGGAAAGGAGGAAGGGAGGAAGGAAGAAAGGAAGAAAGGAAGAAAGGAAGGAAGGAAGGAGGGAAGGAGGGAAGGAAGGAAGGAAGGAAGGAAAGAAGGAAGGAAAGAAGGAAGGAAGGAAGAGAGAAGGCGATGCTGCCCGGCCGTCGCAGTTAATTCGCACGTGTCGCGATGTCGGGTGGCACGGCGGGCGTCCGTGGCACCGGCGCCGAGTGCAGGAAGTTCGCGCCGAACATATTCAACAAGAGCAAGTGCAGCAGCTGCTTCAAGCAGAAGGAGGAGCACAGCGCGGAGGCTCTGGAATGCAACAGGGTGAGTTTTGCTTGATGGACTCCTTCTATCTTCTTTCACCGCGTAACTCCGCTCTTCTTCCTCGCTCTTTTCGGCTCCTCCTCTTTCGCTACCGCGGTCTTGCTCTCCCCCCTCCCCCCTCCCCGCTCCCTCCGCAGCCTCCACTCGTCTCTGCCTCTCCCCTCTCGCTCGTACCTCGTGCACTCTTTCTCTTTCTTTTTCTCCACCGTCTTCTTCTGCCTTACGTAAGCGTGCGTATGTAGTTATAGTGATCGACTATCGGGTCGACGGCGAGAGGCTCGCGCTTGTCTTCTTGAAAGTCGAAGACGTGCTGGAGATTCTTTCTCGGTCGAGCCGCGCTGCGAGAGATATTGGCGACGAACGAAGCGATGTTAAATGAAGTTTCGTCGCTGTTCGTGATATTGCAACCGATTGTTATTTATCAGGTCTCAGGGAGAATCGAGCCGAGAGAGACCTGCGTGTGCTCTATTTGTCTGCGCGTTTCCCTCTCGTTGCTCCTGCCGCAACATTTGTCATAATCCAGACTCGTGCTCGTTGGCTCGTGCGTTTCATATTTTGTATCGCACTTATGTACATCGTTTCACGTAGCCTTAGCCGCGTATCAGTCCTCTGAGAGGATTCCCCTTAAGACAATAATAAACGTTTCTCTCTCTCTCTCTCTCTTTTTCTCTCTCCCTCCCTCTTTCTCTTCTTCCCTCCCTCTCGCACGACCGAGCGTCTGACTCAACGGGCAACCGACGTCTCTTCGCTCGCTCGTTCGCTCGCTCGCCCTCGAATTCCTTCGAGGACGAGCGGGGGAAGGTACGGAGGTCCCGATGTCAGGATGCGGACGCGTTATGTAAGATCCGGCGTGACCGTCGTTTCGCGATCGCGCTCGCGGACGCGACGTTCCGTTTGTTCCCTCGCGTTTTGTCCTTCAACCGGCGAACGCGACATCCGATCTTCCGGCTCGGTTGCACCGACAGTCGCGGTTCATTAACTTCACCCCGGCTGATCGCTCCGTGCCTTTTCCAGATCGTAACCGGTGGCGTATAAAGTAAGGACGAGAGTTTATACTCGATCGAGACGTTACGGCGCGCGGCGCTCGAATGAGAGAGTATTCTCGCGAGTCACGTTCGAATTATTATGTAATTTACGGGAATGCGTGGCCGTACGTAAAGTCCCGCGAGAACGAGCGAGCGGGCGTTCAACTGGCAACTGCGAAAAGCGCGTAAAACGGCGGCTTCGGGGACGAACGCGTGACGATATCGCGAGGAGCAATATCGCCGGATGGACTTTAGCCCAGCTTTGCAATTTAAAAGCTACCATCCAGATATCAGCCCAAGCTAGCTTTTCTCGTTGTATTTCAAGATCTGTTTTATCATAATTATTAAATGTTAATCAGATAATAATACATTTTTTTGTTGTCACTACTGATAGAGGGAATGAATATTTAGAAAATCAATATTGCCAGTGCGGTTTTTATTAGTACGTTTTTTAATAAGATAAAAAATTCGGAGTGAAATGTCACCTGTATGGTAGTCTTTAAGAATTAAATAATTAAGTAAGAACTTAATAATTTTTTCAACGAGTGATCGATGATCATCTCTATACCGAGAGGAAAGTGTTTGCGGTATTTGTGATTGTAATGGCACATCAAAATATTTATAGTCGGGGAAGGACATTCTCGTAACAATCGCTGCTATAGTGTTAGCGAAATATCATAAGTTAAATATTGAAGTTAAATATATATAAGTATATATTAGTTAAATATATATAAGTTAAATATTGAAAAAGTCATCATGTTTTCCTTAAATATCTCACAAAATATTAGGCAAATAAAAAAATGTTTCAAACGAAAGTTGTTAAAATTAATTGATAGAAAAAGATAAGATAAAAAATTGAGGTTTCCATTTAAGAAGAGTAATGATCAATGAATATCTTGAAAGTGGCGCCATTTATAAACAATATGATTGGTTTATGTCCCTTTTGAAACTATACAACTTTTGTCTGAAACGTTTCTTAATCTTTTATATTTTTTAAGATTTTTGCTTGGCTCATTTAAAATGAGACGCCCTGTATACTCAATTTTATATAGTATTTTATTTTATATATAACATTTTAATCTCGCGTAATAAGTTTATTTCTCTCGCATGAACAATGCCGTCTGTTCTCGCTAAGACTTGAATTATTGGATCCTTATTAGCTTCTTAGTCTCACCGATTGTTTAGCAACGTCTGCCAATTCAATTTGCGCTATTAAGATATCAGCCGAAGCTAAATTTTTTTCGTTATATTTATAGCAAAGTATACGTGAGAATTGATCTGTTTCATCACTAATGTTGTTACTATTGAGTGAATAAATATTTAGAAGATTAGTATTGCCAGTGCGGTTACACGTTTTTAACAAGATAACAAATTCGCATAGGATGAAAAATTTCACCTATGGTAACCTTTGAGGGTTAAATACAGTATACTAAATACGATACATCATACGATGGGCATTATCGTTTGCAAATTATACCGCGTGCGCGTCGTACCGCTGCTGCGTACGACTGTACTGCCCGCTTCGTCGTTTTTGTTGTCGCTTTCTTTCTCTTTCTCTCTTTGTACGTATGTGTGTGTGTGTGTGTGTGTGTGTGTGTGTGTGTGCGTGTGCGTGTGTACAGCGACTTGATGTTTAGTCAACCTCCGACTTCGCGTCCGTACGCGCGGTTTTATTTTTCTTTGTCTCTTTTCCTTTTTTTTTCTTTTTCTTTTACGACGGATAATCATGCGCATGTAACGAACGACAATTACTTGGCAGTTTAAGGGCACGTCTTGGAGAGCGAGCGTATTATAAAATCCGGAGCGTTGAAAGAAATTGCTCGGGCGTAAAAGAAAATTTTGGACCGGCGTTCCCTTGGCGTCATCGCGTGCAAATCTAGACCATGCGTGCAAAAAGTTGATGACCCCAGTCGGCCGTTTTTTTTTATTTTTTAAATCGCGAACATAAAAGTGTACGATTTTCTCCTCGACGTGGCAGAGAAGGCGTGTCTATCGTGTGTGTTGGCTTTTGTGTATTGAGCTCGAAAAGCTGTCGGCGGATTTCAGGGATAACTGCGAACGTATATTAAACAACAATCTGTCAGGAAGAGAAAAAGAGAGAGAGAGAGAGAGAGAGAGAGAGAGAGAGAGAGAGAGAGAGAGAGAGAGAGAGAGAGAGAGAATAAGAGGAAGGGAGAGGGGGAGGGGGATCAGAGAGATCCCGCTCTGGGAGAGACCTAGATGTTTGATTTAACCGTAAGAGATAGAATAACAATGCTCGAATGGTGATCTCGTTCCTTCAATTTGCGAGTGCGCGCGAGATACCGCTGCGTCACGATCGTGAATATAAATATAGCTTCCGGTGCGTTCTCAGTGAGTATCAGAACGAGAATGGAATCTTTATATTTCTGCTTTTTTCGTCTCGTAGGATTTTTATTTGCGGCCGAGTCTTCGCCGCTTCGATGACTAAACGGGTTCGTATAAATCTCAAGGAGGAAGAAAGAGAGAGAGGCGGAAGGAGAGAGAGAGAGAGAGAGAGAGAGAGAGAGAGAGAGAGAGAGAGAGAGAGAGAGAGAGAGAGAGAGAGAGAGAGAGAGAGAGAAAGGGGGGGGAGGAAAGCAGGGAGGGAGGTAGAAAGAGAAGGGGAGGCAGGGGCGAGAATAAAAACGTTAAAAATCAGTTTGTGCTACCGGGTGTACGGTATCGAGGTGAGACGGAGGAAAATTCCGTTTTGCAGTAGCGGTATCGTTGTCACTTCGTAAACGCGCATTTTTGTTCCTGCGCATCACTCACCGCCACTTTATTCCCGGTCCCTTGCTTTACCGTTCGTTTTAATGCTTCATTAATTGTCGTGTTTAATTTCGCTATCCTTAGCAGCGAAGTTACAATGATACGCTGGGTCATCATTTACACGAAATTATGACCTCTGCGTCCTTACTCCCCCCCCTCCCTCTTCCATCTTCGCGACCCTGTCCACTTAATATATCTGCGGGGAAGTGTTACGCAGCTGTTTTTACGCATTTCTCTTTCGTAAGGACCGATTTAACACGCATCTTGCATGCGAGCTCGCGAAAGCAATAGAAGATGCCGAGACGACGGAAATATTTAAATATGAAAATTTCGATATTTTTTCGTCGTGAATTTACTGCATTTTGATGTCTCTCTCTATAAGTGCGAAGAAAAATATTGAAAATTGGATAATAAATATTTTCTGTGCATTTTCATTTCAATGAAGTCTCACGTACACTCCAAGGATGAGACTTCACGATTATGATTAGACAAGATTAGAAAAAGTACAGGTAGAAGTACAGTAAAAGAAAGAAGAAGTTATGGCGAAATCATTTTTCGCGTGCGTTCACCGATGACACCGAATTCTTCTTCACGTCCTCGCCTGCGTCGGGAATTCCGCGAGGATTCGGCGATTTTATCGCACGGCTAAATCACGACAAACTCCTGAGTTAATGGGAATTGTCGACCGAGCGATTTCACGTTCCGCGTGGACGGCTCGTGATTTGGCGTATCTCGAGAACGAGAGAGGTTGAACGATCAAAGCGATCGGCAGCTCCGAAATTCTGCTCGCGCGCGCGCGCGCGCGCGCGTGCGGCGTCTTTTTCCCGGTCCTCACGCCGTTGCAAATTTCGGAATGTCGGCAGCCTTGCAACCTGTTCTCCGTACATTCCAGCCGTCTTCCTCCAGCACACCCCTACGAGAGGCCCCCGTCCGAGAGTTGTTGGCCTGTCGGCTTTCGCATGGATGCGGTATCTCCGTATCGGTTTATTCTCCCCGTCTCTCGCTTCCTCCTCCCTCGCCTTGCGCCTTCCCGTCTCCGTCCCACTCCGCCATCGTCCGCACGACCGCAAATAACGTATGCATACGCGACGCAATGTTTCTTTACCCGTTGGCCGTTGCATCGTCCTCCCGGTAAGCTTGCATTTCGGTAACCGCAGCAGAAAGAGAGAAAGAGAGAGGAAAAAATCGTCGTCTCGGACTCGCGGA